CCTCTGCCTCTCTCTCTCTCTCTCTCTCTCTGTCTGTCTCTCATGAATAAATAAATAAAATCTTAAAAAAAATTTGCTAAAGTACTGTTTACATCTTCATTGTCACTGATTCCGATTAATTTCTTTTCAGGATAGCAAGAAAGAACAAGAAATACTTAGAGTAAAAAAAAAAAAAAAAAGTGGTGCGCCAGTCTGATAGAATGAAGATCATCCTGTATTTGATGATCTCTCAGGGCCCTTCCAGTTCGAATTTTCTGTGAATGTGGGAGGTGGTTGGGTTTGGAGAGGAAGCAGAGAGCATTCCAGGACAGGAATGACACCAGTGATGTGGCCTGGTGGAGCAGGGGTTGGAGGGTCCGCAGACAAGCCAGGAGAGGGAAGAAACTTCCTCAGAGCCTGGTCTTGTCATGTTCCCTGGAAGCCACTCCTTTCATTCCTCCCCGCCCTCACTGTAACTGAAGACTCCTGGGGGAACTGCCAGGGCCAGAATTACAGGAAATTGCCTTGTGGCCAGTGGGGCTTCTCTGGTTACTTCCCTCAGCGACCGAGGGCAGTGATGGCTTCCTGTCTGTTAGCTGGGTGTCTTTGCCTCCTTGTTCAGCCAAGTTCCCAAGAAACCTTAGCTTCTGTCCCTTCCACTTTTGCCCAGCTCCCACGAATAGGATTTTATCCCCTGTCTTAGCCAGCTCCCTTGCTCCATACGAGTGATCTGGAAACGTTGGGTCCATGACAGACAAATTTTGTGGGACACCCAAAAGGCGTTGTTTGGACGTAGGCCATGTGTAGCTCTAAACGGATATCCAAACAGCTCTGGCAGTGCCTGCTGAGTCCTCTCCCTTGAAGGGGGTGACTTGTATCATTTATTAACATAATTGTTTTTCTCCTTACCAATTATATATGCTCGCTGAAGATGGCTTGGAAAATACAGAAATATATGTGGAAGCAAATACAAATTACCCATTACCCCATGAAATATAGTACTCGGCAGGAGACAAAGGTGACAGCACAGGTGAAGGTCTGTCCCTCTGTTCTTTATGGTACGCCAGCCCCCCCAACTCCTTCCCCCCCACAGCGCCTCTTGATCTCACCCTTACGAATACTTGCCTGTCCTGTATACTATAAAATGGAAGGCAAACTGGAAAGTGTACAATAACACTTACCATGTCAAAGGCATATAAGAGATAAAATATCTCATATCAAGAAGGTGTTTGGAATCTAAAATAGCAATATTTTGTCAGAGCTCTGTCACCACTACCTTATTACTGAGGTGTTGCAGTGATAAAGTATTGTGGGAATGTCTAAAGAGATAAAAAACCATCTGAGAAATTCACAGTGCTCCCTGGGAATTAGGAAAAGACTCACAGTACAAAGAGGCAAGAATGATTAAGTATGAGGCAGGGCTCTTAAATGTGCCTTTCTCTTTTGAGGAAAAAAAAAAAAGAACAGCCAACATTAAACAAAAAAAGTTGGATGATACTAAATCCATCCCAGAGATAAAGCTCTTATTACAGATAATAGTTAGAATTTATGTTTTGCTCCCTCCCCCCAAGGTGGATAGGGTCAGAATGGCAGTTTCCTTATTTCTGAACCCTTGCATTGAGGCTCTGGTAGACAGAGGACTTAGAAAACTCTAAGGCCAAGGGTTAAGATCAGGGCTTTGGAGTTAGTCAGACCTGGGTTCAAATCCCAGCTCCATTCAGATGGTCATCAAAACGTTCTATGTGCCATCCACTCTTTTCGACATTGGGGATATAACATTGGACAATATAGATAAGGTCGCTACTTACATGGAGCTTACATTCTAGTGGGGGGGGGCAGGAGAGAGAATGTTAATGTTGAAAAGAGAGCACAGTGATGTGATTGGAAGGAACTGGGGGCTGCCTTAGGTTGAGTAGTCAGGAAAGGTGTCTCCGAGAGTAGCACAATTGAACTAAGACCTGGTTGATGAAAAGAGGCCAGCAATAATAATAATAATAATAAAAACCCAACATCTAGGGGAAGAGCATTCCAGGCAGAAATAACAGGAAGGGCAAAGGCCCTGAGGCATAAACAGGCTTAAGTTTTTATAGAATGAAATACCAGTGTGATTGAAGCAGAGTCAGCCTGGGAGAGAGTGAAGAGATGAGGTTAGAGAGAGTCAGTGCTGGTCAGGTCACGCAGGGGCTTTGTAGAAATTCAGCTAGTAATCATCATCATCATCCTCATCATCAAGCAGATAAGAAAAAAGGAAGTTGAACAGTTGAGGGTATACTATACGGTACCAAGTGAGGCATTTGGATCTGACTAGGGCACAGGGCTGTTACTGTAAGGTTTGAATGATGTGTTGAAAGTAGAGCCTGAGGAGGACAGTTCCAAGAGCAGAGTACAGGGTGGCAATTTTCATCTATCATCATGTTTCTAGCACTCGAAATTTCTCTCAAGTTCTCTGCTATAGCTACTGCTTTCTCCATGAACACCAAATACACAAATCCAGTGTGACTCATGACACCATCAAATGAGATGATTAAGCCACTCTAAATTTACTTGGTTAGGAGGAGTGTAGCTAAGGGTTAGGTTCCCTGGGGCTACATCGCTTCTTTGTTCGCATGGTTTACTAACTTTTCTCTTTCTCTCTCTCTCTTTTTTTTTAAATAGGGAGAGAAGAAGTCCTATGGAAAGCCATGTGGGGGCCAAGACTGCAGTGGGGGCTGGAAATGCTTTCCTGAGAAAGGCGCAAGAGTAAGTGGCTTCTTCCATTGCTGAAAGACACACAGTCAAAGGAGTTGTGATCTGACGTGTGCGTGTGTGTGTGCGTGTTTTCTTTAGAATTAAACTGCTTAGAATTTACTCTTGTGACTTCATGGAATAAGCAAAGTGATGAGGACCAGCTGCAAGGAGCTTTGCTAACCAGATGAGAGGCAGAACTAGATTGGTCAAGGTCTCTGAGGGAGCAGGAAGAGGTTTCCTCCATTGACTTAATGCCAACGTTTCCTCAAGGTTTCATCTGGAGTATTTCCAAAAGCCAATTAGGTTGTGAAGAACCAGATTATGTTTGTAGATAGATGTACATTTT